AAAAAAAAAAAAAAAAAGCATATTGACAAAATTTTCTAAATATTTGAGAAGTAAACAACACACTTCCAAATAACCCATGGGTCAAAGAAGGAAACACATGAGTAATTTGAAAATATTCAATTGAATAAAAATAAAAACAGGATGTCAAACTTTGTGTATTACAGCTGAATACTTAGAAGATAATTTTTGAAGATAACAATGCTCACAATTAGAAAAGATGAAAACTTCAAATTATCTAAGTTTCTAAAAAAAAAAAAAGTAAATAGAAGAAAGAAAATAATAACAATAAAGGTGTCAGTAAGACATCTGGAAATTAGCCAGGCAAACTTCTCAGGTCTTCTTGTGGTCTCTCCATATAAGCATTATTTGGGTTTCCTCACAGCATAGAAGCCTCAGGATAGCTGGACTGCTTACATAACACTAACAAAGGAGATTAAGGCTGATTCTTCCTTTATGACCTAGCCTCAGAAGTTACAAAGGGCCACCAAGGCCTCATTCTATTGGTTATAATCAACTCACAAACTTGCCCAGCTGCAAGGGGAGGAGTATTAGACATCATTAATAAGGTGGTGTCAGGGTTCCCAAAAAAGATATGGTAAAGAAGATATTGTAGATATCTCTGAACTATGTAATACGCACCACAGGTCTGGGCTGACATATACTGTAATTTTCCCTTAACTTGAAAAACTACCTTTTATATATGTTGCAGTGCAGATCTTCTGGGGAGAAATTCTTTCAACTTTTGTTTATTTAAAAAATGTATTTATTTTACATTTATTTATTGATTGATTAATACAGAGTCTCACTCTATTGCCCTCTGTAAAGTGCAGTGGCATCACAGTTCACAGCAACCTCAAACTCTTGGGCTCAAGCGATTCTCTTACCTCAGCCTCCCAAGTAGTTAGGACTACAGGCACTCTCCACAACACCCGGCTAGTTTTAGAGATAGGGTCTGGCTCTTGCTCAGACTGGTCTGGAACTCATGAGTTCAGACAATCCATCCTCCAAGGCTTCCCAAAGTGCTAGGATTACAGGCATGAGCCAGTGCCACCACGCCTGGCTTTTTACTTTTATTGTTGCAGGATATTTTCACAAGATATAGGTTTTTAGGTGGACAGGTTTTGTTTTCCTTTTAGTACTTCAAAGACATTGTTCTACTGCCTTGTAGTTTATACTGTTTCTGATAAGAAATTGATTGTAGCTTTTACGATTGTGTCCTACTTTCTTTGGCTGCTTTAAAATTCTTAATTGTTTAGTTAGCAATCTAACTACAATGTGCCTCAGTGTGGCTTTGTGTAAAACGTGAAAAACTTTAAGCTACAATCATGCATTATGGCCACCTTATCTTCTAAATTACTGAATAATTATATTAAATGTTCCAAAGCCCCTATCTGCAATTTATAACGTATGCATCATCAGTGAGTCTCTTTTGCCTATTTTTCCTGCTTCTCTTCATGTCAAATTTTAGCTTTGTGCTATAAAATTATGGATGCTATGGTTGAAGATGTGAAATTTTTTTTCTTCCTCTTTAGAGACTTCTGAGTATTGTCAGAAGGCATTTTGACCAATATTTGAATATTGGCAAAGTAACTGTATCTCATCATGTCTTATTTTAATAGATTTTGTTAGGGAAGAGTCAAGAGTAATTCCTGGGGATAACATCCAAAATATGTTCTAAACATGGGTCTAAGCACGAAGGGGTGCTTGAATTAGCTTGATAGTAGACTCTATTTCTAAAGGTCTTACAAGTTATCTCTATCATTTAGGTACTCTCTCTCAGAGTCCTACCAAACTAAAACTTTTCTGTTGTCCACAGAAATGCATATGCAGATAAGACAAACATGCAAAGGAATAGTTTACTATCTTACGTTCACATTCTCTGACATCCAAGTTGAACTGCTGTAATGCTCCCAAGGTAAGCTGTCTTACTTCAGCTTCCAGCAAAAGTTGCATCAAGGATGTGGCTAAATGCTTGCAAGCAGACATACATGCTGTCTGAGCCACCTTTCCCTGAAATACAAGAGTGTAAGGATAAAATTAATGGATATAATGAAATTCCAACAAAAATTAGAATAACTTCTTTTTCAGTTAAGAATTTTCTAAGGTCCTCCCCACCATGATAACCTTGCATTCAGATAATCTTGGAATTAAAGCATCTGATGACAACCATCTTAAATATTAGCTCTATCATCATCAGTCACAATAGCTATTAACACTAACCTGAAATTCACATAGCCCAGCTATTTAGTCTGTAAGCACTTTTCCCCCCTAAATCAACAGTAGATGTATAGAGAGAATATGCTACAGAGAATAATTTCAAAGATTTCTTTCCAAGTATAATTCTTAAAAAGCAAATGTAAACAACACTCCCTAACTTATCTAGAAAGCAGTATTATGATTAACACACATAAAAGAAAAAGAATAATTTTAAGGTAACATTGATTTTAAGAATGATTTTAAAGTACCTTGATTTTTAAGGTAACAAAAGGTACCTTAAAAATATAATTGAAAGGGCAGCACCTGGGGCTCGAGGAGTAGGGTGCCAGCCCTATATACCAGAGGTGGCAGGTTTAAACCCAGCACCAGCCAAAGAATGCAAAAATAAATAAACAAATAGAAATCAACTCTCTGTGTTAAAATATATATATATATATATACACACATATATATGTGATTAAAAGAATAAATTTTGTTTTCTTAGAAAATACTGAGATTTATGAATAAAAACTGTAATATGGATTTTAAAATTAATATTATACTGTCTTCTACAAAGGATTTGAAGCACTTTACATATGGAGAATTACATCTTAGTCTTAAGTCAAATTTACATATCATAAAAGATATACCTACTTTTTCCCAGGTATACAATATATTTCACTTCCATGTTATTTACCATCCATTCTAAAAGACAGGATGATACGTGGTTTTAAATGCCTGTGCTCAACTTAGTAAATTATCCTTTTTTGAAATTATGAAATATTTCAGTCATACAAAAAATATAGAATCATAATGAACACATACAGATCCATTAAATATTATATATACAGTTTAAGTCCATATGTGATCTCCTTAATTATTCTCCTCTCCTTCCCCAGACATGACCATTCGTGATATTCGGTATCCCTTTATATTTTATTTATTTATTTATTTATTTATTTATTTATTTAGAGACAGAGTCTTACTTGTCACCCTCAGTAGAGTGCTATGGCATCACAGCTCACAGCAACCTCAAACTCTTGGGCTTACACAATCCTCTTGCCTCAGTCTTCCAAGTGGCTGGGACTACAGGCACCCACCACAATGTCTGGCTATTTTTGGAGATGGGGGTCTCACTCTGGCTCGGGGTGGTCTCAAACTCACGAGCTCAGGCAATCCACCTGCCTCAGCCTCCCAGAGGGCTGGGATTACAGGCGTGAGCCACTGTGCCCAGCTCCATTTGTACTTTAAAAGGTATTAATATGACAGTATATACCAAGAATATGTATTATATATATATACTGTATTATTGTTCATATTTTGAAATTTTCTATAGTATGATATGTAATATGGCCTTCTGCAACTTTCTTCTCAGTTCAATATTACAAAGGTAAAGACATTTTAATGTAATGCATATAGCTGTAGTTTATTCCTTCAACTGTTTCATGGTATTCCTTTATAAAAATGTACAAATTTATTTGGACATTCTTCTGTAGTTGGAGATTTAGGTTGCTTTCTAAATTTTTTTTTAAATTTGGGTATTACACATAGAGTAAGCCATAGAGTATATGTTATATACTCTACTGAGAATATAAAATATGAAATCATAAAAATGTGAGATTATGAATACAGTGACCCTTTTACATGTTTTTTCATGTTTCAATGAGCCAAAGCCCTTCCACAATAGTAGCAGGCTTTAAATGGAAAAAATATAAATAATAACAGAACAAAATTTTAAACTTGTGTCTTTGAATAATTTGTTTAGGATTATTTCTCAAACCTACCAGGATGTATGGTATCAATACTGAGATTTATAATGCATGCTTATACATATATGAAGAGAAACATATGTAGTAACCAGACTCCCAAATATCTAAAATTTATAAATTTTTACTTATTTGACAAAATCTTATTTTGTAGAATAAGAATAATAAAAAATAACCTATTTTAGTATACATACTAATATGAAGGTCACTATGAAAATTTTGAGACAGACTGTGTTATAGCCCATTACTTCACTTCCAAGAAACACAATTAACAGCATCCTTTCTGATTCACCTGTACAAGATTCTACTTGCTCAGCTTATCAATGTTACTTACTGAGAGGACTTCATTTGTTTCCATTCACACAGATTTTAAGTTTCTTGATTTTTGTATATCTCAAAACTTTCATAATAATACATGTATACTACATATGTTCCTCATCTATATATGTATATGGTTCTGTTTATATTTTCTGATGATCCACACTCTGGATGATTGAAGACAAGAAGTGAGAATGCTTAAGTTAGGGAGCAATTTAGAGACTAAGTGAGAAAGAGGCAGTGGAGGCATAAAGAATCCTAAAGAGAAAAGTCACATTATAAAAGAAATGCACATTATATGGCTCGCTTTCAACTAAACCCACTGGAGACCTTATACAATGTACCTCGAAGGAGCAGTAGGGTTCAACATAATTGTCAGACTATGCCCAGTGTGAATTCCCAAAATGTTCAGATCAAAATATTAAATAGCTTATTAACTTTAATATTAATATGATTAATTGTATGATTGACATATAAACTTGAAAATCAAGATATACATCAATCATAGAGCCAAAGATATACATGTCACATTACTCTGACATTCTGGGTTTAATTATCCTCTGAGTACTTTCCACCCTAATGTCCCTCTAGCTGATTCTTTAATACCAAACTAAAAAGCTTCTGCACAGCCACTAACACAGTAAGTAAAACAAACAGACAGCCCTCAGAATGGGAGAAAATATTTGCAGGTTATGTCTCCAACAAAGTTTTAATAACCAGAATCCACAGAGAACTCAAATGTATTAGTAAGAAAAGAACAAGTGAGCCCATCTCAGGGTGGGCAAGGGACTTGAAGAGAAACTTCTCTGAAGAAGACAGGTGTATGGTGTACAAAAATGCTCATAATCCTTAATCATCAGAGAAATGCAAATCAAAACTACTTTGAGATATCATCTAACTCCAGTAAGATTAGCCCACATCACAAAATCCCCAAACCAGAGATGTTGGCGTGGAAGTGGACAAAAGGGAACACTTCTACACTGCTGGTGGGAATGCAAACTAATACGTTCCTTTTGGAAAGATGTTTGGAGAACACTTAGGGTTCTAAAAATAGACCTACCATTCAATCCTACAATTCCTCTACTAGGTATATATCCAGAAGACCAAAAATCACATTATAACAAAGATACTTGTTCCAGAATGTTTATTGTAGCCCAATTCATAATTGCTAAGTCATGGAAGAAGCTCAAGTACCCACTGACCCATGAATGGATCAGTAAGTTGTGGTATATGTACACCGTGGAATATTATGCAGCCTTAAAGAAAGATAGCGACTTTACGTCTTTCATATTCACATGGATGGAACTGGAACATATTCTTCTTAGCAAAGTATCTGAAGAATGGAAGAAAAAGTATCCAGTGTACTAAGCCCTACTATGAAACCAATTCATATAACCCAATTATAGGCCAAGATGAAGGAGAAAGGGGTGAGAAAGAGGAGGGGAGAGGGGAGGATGGGTAGAGGGAGGGTATTTGGTGGGAATACACCTACAGTGCATCTTATAAGGGTACATGTGAAATTTACTAAGTGTAGAATATAAATGTCTTAGCACAATAACTAAGAAAATGCAGTGAAGGCTCTGTTAACCAGTTTGATAAAAATATCTAAAATTGTATATAAAACCAGCACATTGTACTCCATGATTACATTAAGGCATACAGCTATGATTTAATAAAAATAAATAAATAAATAAAAATAAAAAATAAATCACACGACAGGCCTTCCCTGTCTCTAGCCCTCTGCCAGAGGGCTGGTGGGTCTCTGCTCTTACCCAGGCACTTGCCTTTTGTGCTGGTCTTCTACTCCTGGCCTTGTTGGCTCTTGGCGTCTCCTAGTGCTTCACTGTGTCCCCAGAGTGATGTTTATGGGCAGGATACCCCAACCAGTGGTTGCTGGAGTCCTCTCTCCCCTGTCTCACTGCAAGTGGTGGTAAGGAGAAGTCTCTACTCTGCCATCTTGCTCTACCTGTCTGTTATTAATCTTCTTCATAACCTTCATACTGTTTTCTATAATGGCTATATTAATTAACATTCCCACCAATGGTGTACAAGAGTTTCCTTTGCCCATGTTCTTTCCAATACTTGTTATATTTTATTTGTGTTAATAGCCATTCTAACATGTGCAAGATGATATCTCATTGTTATTTTAATTTTCATTTCTCTGATGACTTCATTATGTAAAACATTTTTTCATGTGCCTATTTGCCATTTATATGTCTTCTCTTGAGAACTGTCTATTTATATTTTTGCCCATATTTAAATTGGGTTATATGTTTTCTTGCTATTGAATTGTTTGAATTCCTCATATATTTGGACATAAACCCCTTAGGAGATATATGGTGTGCAGACATATTCTCCCATTCCATAAATTGCTCCTTCCCTCTATTGATTGGTTTTCTTGCTCTGCAGAAGCTTTTTAGTTTGATATCTTCCCATTTATCTAACTTTTCCACTTTTGCCTATGCTCTTGAGATCATGTTCAAAAATTATAGTCCAGGCTAATGTCATAGAGATTCTCCCCCATATTTTTTCTAATAGTTTCACAATTCCAGTTCTACTTTAATCCATTTTGAATTGGTTTTTATATATAGTGTAAGATGAAGGATTGATTTCATTATTATACATGTGGATATCCAGTTTCCTGGCATCAGTTTTGGAAGAGTCTTTTCTCCCATTGTGTGTTTTTGGCATCTTTGTCAAAAATCCTTTGAAATGCATGGAGTTTTTGCT